CCAAAGGCGCCTTTCCTTCTCCTCTTGAACGACGCTTTCTTTCCCAGCCATTGCACCTTCAGCGACGCGTATCTTTCGCAGCCGTGTGCCACAGGGCAGAATACGAAGGCGGGGTCGAAGGGGTGATAGAGGAGAGAGCCAACTGACTCAGAGCAGAGACACGTCCGTGCACGTTCGCTCCTTCATATATCCATCGCGCATTAATTATTCGGCGCCATTAAACGAACCTAACCCAAACTCAGGACGGTTTACGAGAGAAGAGGGAGGGAGAGAGAGAGAGAGAGAGAATGACACCTCTCTCAGGGAGCATCTCGCAAAGATAGGCTAAATTAAACGATGTGAAGAGACACATGTCGACGAGATACGGGAGATACAAAGGAGGTGGAAGAGCGAAACAGAAAACGATAGGAGAAAGATTGAAGAGGGGGAACAAACGTGTGACTGAGGATATACCTTAATGTTCTGAGGTGGATCTTCGAAGGTCAGGAGCATGTAACGATCCCCGCGGCTCTCCGGCGATCTCTGTCGAACCTGGAAAAAGAATTATTTCACTTATATTTTTTTTCTTCACGCGCGCGCTTCCCACGTTCAGAGCACGATCCGCGTTACCCTCCTCGTCATCGAGAAGGCTAGGTGTCCGAGAGAGAGACGGAGAGAACGCGGAAAGGGAAGATGAAAGAGATAGATATACTTCCCTCTTCTTTTCCCTCGTCCCCTTCTATCCCTGTGTATCCCGTACGGACACGACGACGAGGACGGTGACTCGGCTCGGCTCGGTTCGGAGCAGCGCGGCGTGGCGTGGCGTGGCGTGGCGTGGCGTGGCGCGGTGCGGAGCGGCGCGACGGGACGGATAAAAAGCTGCTGTCCGGGGCGTACCTTGACGAAGGTTTCCACGGCGCTCTTGGCTACATCCAAGAGCGTGGGCCGCCCACCCAAATAAGCCCTCTGATTCATGGAGGCCGACGTGTCGATCAAAAATACTATTATGGTCATCTTCGGGAGGGAGACTGTTACGGCGGTGACGGCGGCGGACAACGTCGGTGGCAACGGCAACGGCGAGTCGGAGACGGCGGTAGCGGCGGCAGCGACGACGACGAGATCCGAGTCGCGCTCGGCGCGTCGTAACGTACTCGTGCTCGTTTATTAACTGGCGAGCACCGAGACGCTGGCCCGTCGGAACTAGCTAGTTAAGCGCCCTACGGCGGTAGCGGCGGCGACGACGACGACGGCGACGACGACGACGACGACGACAGCGGCGGCGTGGAGCATAGCTGCCACGACCATTGAACAGCTCTGCGTAGCGAATACGCTCCGAAAAACTTGTCTTTTATCGTAACGGCGCTCGCTTGGTCCGTTTCTCTCCCTCTCTCCCTTTCTCGCTCTTTCGTTTCTACGTTTACCACGGCGTGTATGTGTATATAACTATATACCAATAAATACGTCTGCCCGCTAGAGTACGCGGTCAGAGTATAAGGGCATATTGCGCGTATGTGTGCTGCCACTCCTCTCCTCGCGCCCCACCGTCGACACCTCTCTTTCTCTTTAATACAAATCTAACCTATCTCCCTCGTGTTTACGCGCTCGTCCCGAAACTCGGTCTCTCTCTCGGTCCCGCAGGTCGCGCCCTCTCGATCGCTCGAGTATACACGTAACGACATGGAGCGTGCCACGTGATCGCCTCCGACACCCCGCCATTGGTCCCCCACCACTTCGTTCGCGTAGCCGCTACGCTACTTGGAGCTTCGTGTTTCTTCGTGCTCGGACTCGGACTTTTTGCTGCACCTGGCTGCACTCCCGACGTTCCGTCCTCGTCTTGATAATGCCGCGCACTTCAAGTCCGTCCACGTCTGTCGCCGTCGCCGAGTGCGGATGGTGCGGAAGGTGCACGTGAGACCTACTTCTTTTTTTCCGATCGACTTGTCGCATTACCGTGCAGCGTACACTTCGTAGCGCTTTGGGAAATGCGTTGCGTTGTCCGTTCTACGGGTTCTACGCCTCGCGCGCGGCTGCTTTTGTTGCGTCTTTCTTTGAACGACTCCGACAGGACGATCGAAGCGATTTCAGGAAATGAATGTTCGGGGATGGGCTATCGGTCGTCTCCGATAATTCCAACCTACCGGCGACCACCGATACAAACATCGGACGACGCTGCGTAGGTGGAAAAACATCCATATTGATTTTACAAATACGTTGTCTAATCCCTTGCGCGATTAATCAATGTAAAATAACAGTTTACTTAGTAGTAGCAGTAGTAATATCAGTAATTGTGTAGTATAGTTGTAGTATACGGTGCTTATACGTCCTTTGTTAAAGAACGTCCTTTATTTCAAGTAGCTGTTTTAGATTCATTTATTTTTTCTCAAAATTCAATTTTTCATCCAATATTTACGGGAAATTTCTTTCTAATTATTACAATGTCTCGTGTACTAATGAGCGAATTTTTATGAAAAAATTATCGACAAATTTCGTTCTATATGCAGCAGAGCAGTATTAAAACAGTATTCAAACAGAACTACAATCACAATAATATCCAAATGATATCAAAACGAATCGTGATTGATTAAAAAGTGACTTTTAATAATTAAATTTGCAACTATTTTAATGTCATTTTAATGTTGTGCTTATTAGAATTTATCTCAAGTATATTGTATAAAAAAATTTTAGAAATTAATGCGCAGACTTCTGACAATCACAAACTAGTTTGAAAATACTTAAGAATAAAGATTAAAATTTTCAAATTTGTCTTTTATTTTTCTAAGAAAGAATATCATCATTGTAGGTAATAACAAAATATGCATTTATAAAAAGTAAGATACAATTCAAAATTTAAATGCCAATCGTAGACAGTCAGTTAAATTAATTATAAAAAATATTGTATTAAAACAAAACTTTATCGTTGGAAAACGTCTCGAAGCGTACGTGGAACCGCGTCGAAGGATCTCAGCGAGAGTGAAGCGGCTTTCAGAGCCACAGAAATGCAACCGATCTCATCGAGATTCTTATGAATCCCGTAAATTATTCCGGCAGTGAGGCAATCTCCACACCCGCTTACGCTGAGTATCTCGCTCGCTTTTTCCGCGCCGTCAACAGCGGGGTACAATCGGGATGCGACCGAGGAGTCGGCGATCAGTTCGCCACGCTCGTCGTAGAAGGGCTCGTTTTGCAAAGCTTTTCGGGTCACCTGCAAAATAGAAAGTTAACGAGTACATATGTCGAAACATCGTCATTAATTTATATCTACCTTTAGATTAATTTTAATCTTGGTTTATAATTTTTATCGTTATCTACATTGAGAAAAATTTTCAACTGAAAATGAATGAAACATTCTAATCATATCAATCGGAATTCCAATCATCGTGATTAGATATCTCGATTAGAATTATAATAGATTTAAAAAATAACTTAAAAAAATCTCATTTTTTTACTAGAATTCCAATTAATGCAACCAGATTCT